GATGTTTCTAAGCTCAAGTGCCACCTCCAGCTGACCCCAGCAGGTGACCCATCTTGGGTGTCTTGGTAGGATCATCTCCAAAACAAAGTCCAATTTTCACAATTATGAATGTGACTCTGACATTAATAGAAAATGAGCAAGTGTTGACCATGATGTTAGTTTTGAAGGAGCATGGAAGATGGTAAAAAATCATTTCAAGAAGATCTAGAGGAAACATAGACCTAGAAAGTTAGACTGGTTAAGGCACCACAGGGCAATACAATTAACAGGTAGTTTTCTCTTTTCTATAGATGAAAGACTGCTTCACAGCTTACAGATTTCCATTTTGCAGAGTCTGGACACCAAGCAATGGCCCAGGGGGTCAAATCCTCCCTGAGGCAGCTATTAGCAAAGGACCACTGGGACAGAGTGAGGCCTTAAGATCTTTTAAGTTGTTTTTATTTTTAAAGTTTTTATGTTTTAATCACACATAGACTAGCTACTTAAAGGTGATTTCTTTCTTTTACCTTGATCTAATCCTAAAGGAAGCTAACTTTTGGGTTTGCCACTAAACTGCTATTTACACTGTTCTTCCTAGAAAGGCATAGTTTATAATAGTATTTCATGCAGAAGTGCTAGAAATGATTTTTCTTTAACGACCTTTCCTACTAAAAAGCATATTCTCTCTACCTCAATAAAAATGCTTGTCTTCCAAAAGGAAACCATCTATATTCCCCAAATGAGGGTGGCTGTAACAGGGAAATATTTAAGAAAAGGGACTCTTGTTTTCTTCTACATACTTAAGTTCCCATAAAGAAAAATAAATAAATAAAAGCAGTCATTTTAACAAAATAAACTTATTGCCAACTTTTGAGCCTAAAATGAGATACTGCTCAATTCCTTGCTATTAATATATATAGGTATTTTTATTTAGGCACTAACGATCATCTTGAGAAAAACCACACAAACAAGATTAATTAAACCTTTGGATTTTCTTCTCTTATTCTCCGGGCTCTAACTCCTCACCATCAAATAATGTGCCTGATAAGAGAAAACTAAGAGTCACTAGCAACTATTTGATTCACTTGCTATTAAGCGCTTGTTGTCAAGAGGTCTAATACAGGGTAGAAATTAAAGCTATTTCCTAAAATAAGGACAATAGCTTAAGTATTGTTTTCAGTTAAGTATACTATAATTGTCCCCTGTGCAAATTCTTCTACATGAGGCAAACAAATTGTAATTATGAATAATATAATTATATAGCATTATCTAAATTGTATATGCTTCAGCCTCATCCCCCAAAAATAGATTCTTTATGGATCTTACTCATCATGTCCACGGATCATTCATTGAGCATTCACCCTCAATGCTGTTTAATCAATGATTATCAAGAACTAGTTTGCCAATAAAACACCAACACATATCCAGAAATGCTCTTCTAGAGACAGGAAATAAGAAGAAATTAGGTAGTGGTGGCAGTAAAGGAAACCCGATTGGAAGGTAAGAGATATTTCGGTCCAGCAAAGAGCCAGGCAGGGAGCCTTTGTAGATATTTGAGGAAGGAAGGGCACATTGTTAGTGCATGAAAAGGGAATTTTTTTTTTTTTGACGTGGATGAGCAGGGAGGAGAAGCAAAAAGAGGGAAATGCACTGTGCCAAAGATTGGAGTACTAAATTCAAGAATAAAACCAATGCAACAGAATCCAAACAAAGAGACACAAAAGGTACATTTAGTGGAAATGAAATTGGATTTCTGAACTGGGTTTTAAGATCCTGCTATGAGCTATGGGCTACATCAAGGGATAAATGCCACCAATTCGGTACTTTTCGAAGGGCTCCATAAACTCTGGGCAAAGTGTAGAATTGACTCACAGCATGACCCCCATAAAGAAAAAGTTGCCTTTAGAAAAAGTGTTCTGAAAATCCTATGGAACGTAATGAAGATAACTACTTCCTTCCAAACAGATCAGAAACAGGGTTAAAACTGCACATTTTTTAAAGATTGAAGAAAGGGCTTGAAAACTAACTTAGTCAAATCCCTAATACAGTAGAGATTTCCACTGAACCAAAGTCTTAGAAAAATTATTTTCCTTTCTCAGGCAGGGCTATAATTCTAATGCAGTAGCTTATTTAGAGACTCTCATTTAACCCATTCATGCACAAAGCCAGCCTTTGACAGGCAAAATAAAGAATGACAGGAGCACAAGAAGATCTGGATATGAGGCAAAGGAAAGGGAGATAAACACACAAGAAGTCACTTCCTCCTTGTGTTCAGGAGTGATTTTTGTTGTTTTAGAGCAGAGATATAATTACCTATCTCTCAACAAGTGCATAAGAACAGATGTTACTATTGGCCATAAAAATATTTCCTCTCTTTTCTAAAGCTGGCATTAGGATTTGGCATTAAAGTTGGCAATAAATTCTGGAGTTGAAGTCCTAGGATTTAAAGAAGCATTTCTTTTCACATGTTACAACTTCCACCCAGTTTGACCACATGCATAGCTTAGGTGAAAGTTGTAGGATTTTCCTACATATCATTTCTAGAACATTAATTTAGTTGAACTTCCAGCAGTATCCAGTGATACAATGTACCTTTGGTATGATATTCACCCATGGAAATACCAGTCAGAAAATGTATAGGCTAATGATGTTGGTTCCTGACAAGTTAATTCTATCACATACTCTTCGTGCAAGAATTTTAAAGTCACTTCAAGAAATTCTGTCCACTGTGCTATAAAATTATCTCCAATAATATGAAATGGTGTCTAGGTTGCTGGAACAACAACTGAAGGAATTTGCTGTTGTGTATTCATAGGTGGGCCTGTGAATTTGTTTCTCTAAGTTGTGTTCTAGTAGAACAACCTTCTAAGCAATCCCCCTCTTTACAATCTTGAACTTTCTGAGTCATCCTCTGCTAACATGATCTCCCTAGAATGCAGATCGGCCCACGCCTGCTGGGCTTAAAACACCCCTGTGACCCCAAACATCTAAGAGCAAAGTCCAGGCAAACTAGCATGACTTATGAATAGCACCTCTCTGCCTTTCCAGACTCATTTTTCCCAGCCCTTGACTTGCACTCAGTATGCATGATGTAATTTATTCTCCACTGCCTTGTTTTCCTCTACCCATAAATCTGTGTTTAGGCAACTTCTTACCCTCAGAGAGCTCAGGCATTCTTTCCTCCAGGAATTGTCTGCAACTCACTTTTCTTAAAGATAAGTACTTCTTCTCCATCCTTCTTTCTTTAATTACTGTGTGCACATATTATCGTCATACGTACAGTGCTTCATTGAAATATATGAATGGACTTGTCCCTCCTAATCTGTAAATGTTGGATGCCACATTCCCAGGTATCTTCTACCACAGAAAAGATGTTCACTAGTGACCTTGTTGGTTGCCTCTAGGAGTTAAGTCTCAGGCTATCACCACTATGGCTTCAGTTTGGCCAGTGAGCTGACCCACATATGGTGCAGCAGACCTCTCCCATATAGCTCGCTGCTCCCCTTAGTGGCATATTTCAGTAGATCCACATTTCCTGCTCCCCATTCTGTCTCTAGTGAGTCCTCTCATTGCCCCACACCCACATGCACCTCTGGCCTATATCCTACTGTTCTACACATAAATAATAAATCATTATTTAAAAAAAAAAAAGAAAGAAAGAATGCTCAATCAATGAATGTTTCTAAAGGAGTTAATAATGAACGAAAGAAATGAAACCCAACTTGGCTGTAATCTGCTCCCTAGTCAGCAGTATGTTTTACTTTAAATCTGAGGATGGCAATGGAACCTTCGTTTTATAAGCCCAATTTACAGACTAAACACATTTAATCATCAACTACACTAGCTCCCCTGTAGTGATAGAGTTAAAAATCATATTGTGAAAGTTCTTTCATAGAATTTTTTTGTGCTCCAAAGGAGAACAAAATAACTCAACCAAATTCACATAAGTAGATGGTGGCTTCCAAAGTAAACATGATTCTTGGCTCCTAATCATTGATGTTATCCCCACTTTTAGGCAGGATTAAGGGTTGAAGATTTACAGGTTGAAAGCAATAGAGGGAGCATTTACAGAAGGCAGAAAAGTAAAGTATACATAGTATTAACATTTTGTTTTAAACATATCAGAGCAACAAAATTCTAAGGGCCATATTATTTTGTTAGATACTACAAGATTTTCAATTTAGTAAGAGAATTGCATTTTGCAGTCAACTTCTCGATCCATTTGAGGATATAAGGCATTCCAAGCTGTAAAGTTATAGAACAATATAAGTACTAGTGAAATGACAGAGCAATATTCGGCAGGAGGGTATGGGCTGGGAGTTCTGTGCTTTAGAGGTGAGAATCATGCCTGGAACAGAATTCAGTACCTACGTAACCTTGAAAGATGGCTGGGAGTTGAGCAGACTGAGTAGAGGATGAAGGCAGGAAGAGGCATGGAGCCTAGAGAGCAGGTCCATTTGCTCACACTTGGACTTTGCCCAGTGATAATGATTTGGAATTCTGCATCTAGACTCCAGAATTAGGAGAGCATAAATTTAGTTGTTTTAAGCCACCAAGTTTGTGGTCATTTGCTATAGCAGTTGCAGGGAACTAATGTAATGATCATATATCAGAAAGAGTAAATCAGGGACGCCTGAACAATGTGATAATGTTACTGGATTGGATCATTCACTTCCCTGGAAAGGAATTTGTAGTGACCTTGAAAAACACATGATGACTCCAAGACTTTTGTTTACTCCTTATGCAGACTATTTTATGGTCATTCTTCCCATACTACCCATTTAGATTGCCACGATTACAGATTTGACTGATGCTACGATGTCAGAACTGACAAAAATAAATGAGCGCTAATAAAACAGTGAAGTATTCTGCTATCAGGTTACTGAACCAATACAACGGTTTATAACACCATCGTGGAAGCGAGTAATTGGATACTGTGATGAATCTGCCGTATTACAATTTGATGGTGTTAGTATTATGATAAATGTTGAAGAATAATGCCACATTCTTTTTGCCCACAGGCTCGGTGGGATGGCTTGACTGGGCGTATCGCCTTCAATAAAACTGATGGCTTGAGGAGAGATTTTGATCTGGACATTATTAGTCTTAAAGAGGAAGGAACTGAAAAGGTAACGTCCTCTGTGGTAAATTTCAAAGGAAAAGAAAAGATGCTGCCTAAGCATTTGCACTGCACCTACAAATAAGGAGATGGTAATGAAATGATAATTGCATCATGCTTCCTTTAGGTCCCGTGTTCTGGATTTCTCTTCCAGGTCTGGAGACAGAGGCTAACATTCTAGATTCTTAAATTGCATGTGTTACTAATAGCAATGATGATGAATGTTGGTGTAGTGCCGGGTTTATCGAGCAGGCATGATTATGCTATCACAGATCTGTGACCTCTAGGTCTGAATCGTTAGTACCATTCACAAAGGGTTTTAGAAATAGAGTTTAGTACTGAAAACTCAGAAGTTGTGATGACTTATCTTTGAAATGGCAGTCAAGCATTACTCAGAAAGTAATGTTAATTGTGCTCCCTTTTGAGACTGATGACAGAGTAGAATACAAACAAATGATTTACTGGAGCAAACCAACTCTGCCTCCTGATTTTCAGAGAAAATCCCATGTTGTCCTCACTATGTATTTAATGTTAGTATTCTCAGTCTCTCACAGTGTAAACCTCTATTTTAGTGACTACTAAAAGCAGTATGAATATAGACTGTAGTTAAATAATATTAATAATAAAAAAATGACTCCTCAATATATTTTATTCTACCAATTTTAGTATGTATGGTAAGTGTTGAAATTCATTCACACTTATCCTGCAAAGATTTTCTCCCTTAAGAAACTTAAAAAGATTTTGAATTCCCCCAAACAACTGTCCAAACACCAAAACTCTATAATTGAATTTTTTTTTTTTCACTCTAGCGGACAAGAAGGTACACTTAATGTAAAAGAGCTGCTCTTGGAACAATCAATTACTTACTTAATTGAAACAGTTGTGCTGATTTTTTTAATGAGATAAGCTTTTTATTTGTTTGTGGCTTTTGTAACGGAGGCACATTTTTTTTTTCTAGGTCCCAGCTATGCCTCCCCCAAATCCCAAAGAAAGATTAATTAGGCTGACTAATAGAAAGTGACCACTGATGTTGAAATGTTTGAAGAAAATAATTAGCTTGCAGGTTTGAAAGAATATATTATACTTGCAGTGTTCTCATTTTCAAAATGCCTCTTTCTCGCCTCTCTTCTTCACTCTGATTTGCTTGTCTGTTGGTTTAATATGCTCTGACAGAGTACACATACCCACCTATCTCAACATGGGGTGTGAGATCCAACCTAGAGTAGAGGGAACAAAAGGAGAAAAAAAAAAAAACTTGTTGTGGACTAAAAGCCTATAATGTGTTGTTTTTTGAATCATTATTAAGAAATTTCTCCTGCTTTATGGTTCCTCTTTCCCTCCTCTCCACATTCTCCTACAGAAGTAAAAGAGGAAGAAAGCTGTTAAGAAACATCTTTTTGACCCAAATGGATGAAGTGGATAAGCTATTGTTATGTTTTCACCGCTATTTATACTCTATGGGTGTTTTTCCATCAACAGCAAAATCGAATTAGATGAAAGTGTTTTCTCAATTTGCTTCTTACCTCTTCATTGTTTGCAATAACTTTTCTTTCTTCAGGTGACTTGGGTTTAATTCCCGAAAAGGTTGATTGAGCCTTAAGGCAAGGGGGGACGCCAACCCATCTTTCTCAGGAGTCAAAGGAGGAAATGCCCAATCTTTTCATGTCAGCCTCTCAAGGGGAAAATTATTAGGAAAAAAGTCCATTTTCTCACTTTCCCTCAAATTTCTATTGCCTTGAAGTCATAAACAATAAGTTTGAAGTCACCAACCAAGTTTTCTTTTTCTTGCTTAGGAGTGGGGTGTGTGTGTGTGTGTGTGTGTGTGTGTGTGAATTGATTGATGCATTGATTTTAGCTATGGATGCTTTGAACAGGTCTTCTAAAGGGTTGATGAGGACCCTGTAACTCTGCAGCATAACTACGCATTTTCAAAAGAACTTGTAAGTCATGTTTTTGGTGCATGAAAAGTGTTGTACCACCAAGTAGCTTCCGTAGAACCCAAGTACTTGGCTCTTTTTCCATGTGTCTGTTCTCAGGTTTAGAATGAATTGGCATTAAGATTCCAACAATGGGTGGGGAATACAAATCTCTGAGCACACACCACCATGATACCTTGCTGGTTCCATGCTCCATTTTAATTAAGTGCTATTTTTATTTTTCCCTCTGAAAACCAAGGCTGCTGGCGAAGTGTCTAAACACTTATATAAAGTGTGGAAGAAGGTTTGTACTCTGACCAAAACTGCAGGAAATGTGGGGTGGGATGGGGAATGTCAAAGAAAAAGCCTGCATCCTTCTGATTTGGCCAAACCAGTCCAGTCAGTAGCTAGCTGCAGCTTAGAGGAGCTAGTATAGCTAGGGAGATGGAAGAGATAGAACAGGTTGTCTCTCAACATGACCTTTGCATTGAAAACAGCTTGAGATGGATCAAATAAAGATGGATGAGGTGCTTCCCCTGGGTATGATCAGTCCCTAATAGGACTAAAAGCAGGTATCTGCAACAGAAGTAGACATTGGTCCCTGTACAGTCCTGTTCAAACCACTAAATATTTTCTCCAAAGAGCAGGTAAACACTAGATTTGATCCATCAGATAGGCTATGTCTTAACACTCTAGACCATCTTCAGTGTCACCACCATAAAATAGGAGTTGTTTTCAGAAATTTCCTCTTCTTAGGAACGATCTTTGTTTTAGGTGGTGTCTTTCTCAGTGTCTCGTGTTGTCATTTGTTTTAGAACCACAGTTTCCAGAGGACAAGAAATTATCTTGGAAATTATAAGACCCACTATTTCATAGTTTATTGTACAGTATCAAGGTGTCGAAAAATGTGCAGACTTATTATGGAAGCAAATGTTAGACAGTCAAAAGCATCGAGATTAGGAAAATGTCCCAGTGTTATGCAAACAAGGTCTTTCATTCTCTGTCCTCTAGAGCTACATGCTAAAACATCTATCGATCGGTGGATGGACCTTAAATTACTTCGAGTTGTTCAACTTCAATGGTTTTGTTAGATTCATTTTCAGCCTTTGAATAATCAGTGAAGTCACAGAAAGTATAAACAGTTTAGTTCCTCCCAGAGGACAAAATGTGGGTGTCCTTCTTGGTAGCACCCGATAGAGGAGCTCAGAATCAAAACACAGGTTTAAAAAGGCTTTAATCTGCACAGAGAAGGCAATCCCCTCTGCTCATTATCAGTCAATCGAAGACCTAACTTGCACCCAAAAAGGAAAGCATAGCACTAATCCAGCTGGAGACTCCAGACGCTTTATCCAGTGTTGAATTAATTCAAGCCAAATATCCCAGAGGAGGGATGAAGCTCTGAAATTATACAGAGGAAGGCAAAGGTCCTTCACTTGTCACTAAACTGTCATAATTGCCCCCACCCCGCATTTCCCAGGGATGCAGTTCTTGGCTCTGATATTCCTCCAGGCCTTGGTGCCTCTTCCCCAAAGCTGACCCATCATAAGTCCACACACTGTGGTGTGCTGTTTCGTGTTAGGACTGCTCTGCACAGATACAGTGAGCAGAGCACTAGCCCAGAAGACTAGCCAGACTGAAGGAACACAGTGTCCTCTCTCAGCAGACTCCATCCTCAAAAGAAAAGGATCCAGGGCCTTCCCTGTGGAGTGGGTTAAATGGCAGCACTATGAAGCTATCCACAGTCACTACAGTACCAAGTTCAATCCCCGGCCAGGGAGCTGACCCACATGGCACAGCAGACTTCTCCTGCCTTGCCCACTGCTCCCCTCAGCTGTGTACTTCAATTGATTTTCCTGTTCTGCTCCCCACTCTGTCTCTGATGAATCCTCTCACCCTCTCCTGCCCCCAACACACACACACACACACACACACACACACACACACCTCTGACCTTTGCCCCAATTATTGTATGCATAAATACAAAATAAATCTTTAAAAATAAAAGATCCAGCTCCTTCCATACAAATTCCCGAAGCTCTCCTCTGCACTCTGACCGACTTTAGTATTAGAAGTCCACCTGAAATTCATTCCCAAAGAGGAATATAACAGTTTCCAAAGCCTAACATTCAAAATTGTGTCCCTCAGCCTCATGAGACAAGAAACTGATATATTTGCTTTCTTCCTGGCTGCTGAGATTTCACAGAGCAGTTTTGGAATTTGGGGTTTATGTGAACCACTCGCTAGGTGCAAAAGATAAAGAACTGTCTCTCTCACACACCCTTTTATTTGAAAAATTTTGCATGGGGTAATCTGAACACTCATTTTCCAATGCTGCCCCATGGCCCTAGATGGTGTGGCTGTTCCCTCCCGTCAGTTGACAAAGGGAACGACAGCTGGACCATGGCTCCTCCCCACGAGAAAATGATGCCCTCCGCTCCTCGCTGGTAAATTACTGCTGTCTGCTTTGCTCTTTCCTAGAGATACATCTCCAAGGCCAGTGACTAGGACTGACATGTTAAGTGTCTGGGCAGCTGGTTAGGCGGGAGCCCTCTTCCCACCAGACATGAATCATTAAGGTGTTGCTTCTTCAGAAAGTGACATTCATTAGCTGACCTGTTCATTGACTGCAACTACCAGGGGAAGCCAGTGGACCACTTCGGTTTCACACACACACACACACACACACACACACACACACTTTTGCTTCATTGATTCAAAGGTTTAAAAACAAAAAATCTGACATGATTAAACATACATATTTGTACTGCCCACTTCCAGGAAGACTCTGACCCTTGACCCTTACTATATTTTGATCCTCTTTGGTCTAGACTTGAAGGAACTTCTGTTACATGATTTGTAGAATAAAACTATGTTCCCTTTTCTTAGCTTATGGAGAGAAGATGGTCCTGAAGGAGAATCTGGACTTAGTCCATTGAAAATGTAACCACAGCAATCCCCAATTGTCCACAGTTTTTGGAGTTTGCTGAGGGTTGCTGAGGGTGTATCTACAACTTCAAACTTGTATTTTAAAACAGAAGGATCATGAGGTCTTTGAACTGACATTTTCAAATATTAGTGTCATTTCTTTAAACACAACTAACATGAGTAGAAACAAGAGAGTATTTTCCAAGACTTAAAACATGGGCTACAACCAGAGCTTTTTTTTCTCCACCTTTCAAGACTTAACTAGAAATTAGGTTCTAAAAGATTAAAAAATAAACTTAAAAAATAACAATAAATCAGCTTCTGTCCTCTGCAAGGCCCAAGACAGGTTTTGTTAGAAGTGTGGCAGTTGATACAAGTGGTCCAGTTGATACAAGTCTCTGCAGTTTCATGGAGTTAGAAGTCAGCTGCTTCAACCTAGAGTGTGATCGTGGCCTGCTGAAGACACCCAGGTGTGTGTAGGCTGCGTTGTGTTCCCACCAACAAAAATCTCTGGATCAGGAATATGGGGAGAGGGGTAAAAGCTCAGAAGAGAAACAAAAGAAGGTCCCTCTTTTCTGAATTTATCAGCAACCAAAGAGTGAAGACTCTTCTACTGTCAGATATGTATCGTGTGCATCTAAGTGTCAGGACCATGCTGACTCGGCAAAAGCCAAAGGTTGTTAAAAGTGCTGTGATACCTCCTGGTCTTGCCTCTGATACCCTCTCTATGCAGACAGGACAAAATACTGTCACATTCCAAAAAGACCCCCAGTCCTCACAAGCTAGACTTTCCCCAATCCACTAACTCTAAGTATAGAAAGAAGTTGATATTCTTCACACTGGTGTCTGAACATGTGATTGTCCTTGAAATTTCCTCAAAGAATTTATCATTTCTAAAAAAGGATATTTGTCAAGCTAACTGAATCTCCTGCTGCTGTATTTATGCAGGAAATCAAAGTAAAGAACTAGAAAAGGAAAGATGAGGCTTAACATTCCCACAGGTGAGATGTTATTTAATCAACAGACAAGTCTTATTACCTCCATTTTGCTGGTGAGGAAATTGAGGCACAACAGGGTTAATTAACTTGTCCAAAGTCACAGCTGGAAAATTGTAAAGTTAGGATCTGACAAAGGTGTGTCTGTAAAGACCTGACTCTTTCTACCTAGCCAACATCCTCATTGTGGGAGGGGCTCAAGCACTGTTCTGCCCCCTCCATCCCAGAATATGTGCACATGTTAGTGATCAGAGAGTTACCCCATTTTTCATATCTCCTTTACTTCTAAATCAGCTTCTCAATTTATAAGGAAAAATAATTTCACTTATGATTTCAAGTTCTTACACACTTGAGCAAGTTTGAAGGAAATAGGGGGCTGTCATTTGGATGTCTTCAATAGTAAACATTTGTACAGCTCTTAACATATCCAATTTTCACATGGATCTTCTCATTCGATCTACTCAAGACCCCTATAAAGTACTCCACGGTTACAGAACCAAAGCTCAGAAAGGTGAACATCTTATCCAAAGTCACACAGCATCCAGGTTGGACTGATGGAAGGCAAATCTTCATTCCATCCCACCAGTCTGGCAGTGAATACTGACAGAGGTCTCCAGGAAAATAGCTCAATTCCCTAAAGTCCTTCTCAAGATTCCTGAAGAGGCTAAACAAATCAATACACTTCAACAGATCCAAATAATCTAGAAGTGATTTTACCACTGAAGAAAAGTGTGGTCATTATTTTTCAAAAGGGCAGTAGGCACCCCTGATCGCCATAACTGAATCTAGGATAAGAAGGTACATTGAAGGTACATTGAAAGTGAATGCCATTCCTGAAGAAGCTCTTGTCTGAATGGAGAGATAAGACAGGTAACAGGTGAATATCAGCAGGTAGACACAAAACAAGTAAGACAAGACTTTCTAAAGTCCATAGAGACCCCCATAAAGTGCAGGGAGCCATGTTCCCCATCACTGTCTCCTCAGAAGATAAGCCCAGAACGTATCTCTTCCTGTCCACTTTTTCTTCCACCACCTTTCCCTTTTAGAAGCCCATTCTCTCCACTAGCCACACTGTTCCCTCCTTCCTAGTTCTATAATTTTTAAAGGCACTGTTGGTACCACGTCAGCACAAAGGGTTGTATCAATAGAATATAAGCTCCACAAGGGCAGAAAATATTGTCTATTGCATTCATTGCTGTGTCCTCCAACGCCTGGGATTGACCGACATATAAGTAGCTGCTCAACAAACACACATGAATGTGGTGCTTGTTCAAGACTTCTTAGTTTAACAAACAGTAAGCTTAATAAATTAAAAACCCTCTCCACCCTAAAGAGCACAGACTTTCCCTGTTTCATCTACACCCTCATCTCTGCCTTATTTCATTTGCCCATATTTAGTAGCATTCCCTGTGATGCCCTGGTGTCCTCTTCCCAGACTCTGACTTTCATGCCCACCTCTGGTGTCAAAGGGGCCCCCCTGTAGTGTGAATGCCATCGATGGCAGCCAGCAGCCTCTGATGTGATGTGTTCTGTGTAGATTGGGATTTGGAACTCCAACAGTGGGCTCAACATGACAGATGGCAACAAAGACCGGTCCAGCAATATCACTGATTCATTGGCCAACCGAACACTCATCGTCACCACTATTCTGGTAAGTCGACACTGTGACGTTCACTTTGTCTAACCTGAGCAACACTGGATTTACACCATCATTTGTATAGAGAAGCATCATTTGTATAGAGAAGGCTTTTCCTTCTAGGGTGTCATTACCATACTTCACCCACCACCAAGACATCCTGAGTTCTCCACCATTGGCTGTGAAATTCTTATCCAGATCTTAAAGTATTCCTACCCTAGATCTTAAAGTATGATTTTCTTGCCAATAATGCTGTATGCAAATGTCTGTCTTTAACTGGGTGTATAAAGCATGTTTGTGCAGACCTAGAATTGAATGGAATTAGAAGCTTCCAACATTGTTCTGAAGATCCCCCACCTCCAATCCATTCTCAGAATTGTGTTACTCTGTCTCCACTCAGCTAGTCTCTTTTCCTGACTTCAACCAAAGGGAGCTTCTGACAGAGGACCGGGGACATGAGTGTAGAGAAGTAAGGGAATGTCTTCCTCTTCCTCACAAAGGCTTTGTCAGCTCTCTGTCCTTCCCAACCACAGCTCCTGGTCTGGCTGTGATCCTATGTGGGCAGCCAGAACCACCCTCCCTTGCCAGAAGTGGTCCCAGCTTCTAGATGTTGGTGCGTAGGCGTCAACCCCAACACTATTCTCATCCTATCCCTGTTGATGTCCTTTGCCCTGCTAAGTTCTCTGAAAATAACCTCTTTATTAACTTATCTTCAAAATCCCAGGTTAGGGTATATTCCTATTGGAACCCTGATCCCCACCTATTGAGTCAATGACATCCTCAGCTTGTTCACTCTCTTTCCCCACCCTGACTCAAGGAGCAAATGGCCTCCTCAAAAATCTTCACACTCAGACATTTGATTCAGTCTCTAATGTCAGTCCAGTTCATCTCTGAAAGTTAACTTCTGAAAAGTGTTCATTCAAAGTAATGGGGAGGAACAAAACAAAGGAACAGGAAAACTAGACCAAAGCAAACCCCAGAAGAGTATCTGAAGAGCTGATAAAGGGAGGGGGAGGAGTGGAGCAAAGAGAAGGGGCCCACAGATGATGGTGGGCTGTGGGTGCCTTAGTGGTAGGTGTGCTGTGGTAACATACACTGAAGAGAAATGATTCAATGGCTGCAAATGCCACAGTGTTGCATCCCACATCACCACAAGCAAAATGAATACAATTGACAGCAGAAAGTGAAACTTTTGTTTTTCGGGTGATTTCTCTGAAATCATCTCATACAAATATGAGAATTTCAACTTCCATCTGTTTGAGAATAAACAGAACCATAGGGACAAATGAGTAATATAGCAGTTACCATATCTAAATTTTATAAAATAAATGTCTATGTGCATGATATTATTCTTAGAATATGGGTTCAGTACTTGAACAGGGTAACGGGAGGTTGATTTTTGCAAAATAGGAAAGTGAGGGACAGACTTCCCTGCTCTCACACCTCACACATCACTTTCAAATATTTCACATCTGCTGACTATTAATGAAACTTGTATAAGTAACTCTGTCTTCCCTTATAACAGAGTTTTCCTGTTTGCTTCACGTAGGAGGAACCCTATGTGATGTATAGGAAATCTGACAAGCCCTTATATGGAAATGACAGGTTTGAAGGATATTGTCTGGATCTGTTGAAGGAATTGTCAAGCATCCTGGGTTTCATTTATGATGTTAAACTTGTCCCTGATGGCAAATATGGAGCCCAGAATGATAAAGGAGAGTGGAATGGAATGGTCAAAGAACTTATAGATCACGTAAGCAAAAACGCATCTTTCACATATGGGTCTTAAATGTCTGGGGAGTAGATGCAGAATGAGAAGTGATGGGAAAGAGGGAAAATGGTTGAATCAAAGTCAGAATGAAAGAAAGGTTTCAGTTTTTGAATCACAAAATGGTTTTAACCTAAGGAGAGAACAGTCTAGAAATGGAGTTTGCAAATAAGGGGGGGAGATGAGGATATACATATATGGGTTCATCCTATATATTGAAGAATAAAACTGAATGATTCTTAAATTAGAAAAAGAAATCTGAAGTGTTCCGCAAAATCTCATCCTGTCAAGTAATTTTTCCAAATAACGTGTTCATTCCTTGACTTTCTCACATATCCTTTGAAAAGACATCCTCCTGAAGTCTTGTATTTCATGCCAGCACATGTTTTATACCTTCTGGCTTCTCTTTGCTCACAAATACTAGATCGTAAACAAAATGTGTGTGAATCAGTCCTTTTTATATTAGTTAGTCATCACAGAGCCTGCTTGCAAGAGAAGCAACCGGAGTTGAGACTAGGGCTGAGCAGTACCCAGAAGTCCAGACACTTCCTGGATGACTAAGACACAGATTTGGACTCACCTCTGCAGAGGGCTGACCTGGCCGTGGCTCCCCTCACCATAACCTACGTGCGGGAGAAAGTCATCGACTTCTCGAAGCCCTTCATGACGCTGGGCATCAGCATTCTCTACCGGAAGCCTAACGGCACCAACCCGGGAGTCTTCTCCTTCCTCAACCCTCTGTCCCCTGACATTTGGATGTATGTGCTCTTAGCCTGCCTGGGAGTCAGTTGTGTCCTCTTTGTGATTGCAAGGTAAGTTGGAGAACTACTCAACTCACAACAGGTCTGTCTCAGATTGCCCTCTGCTCTAGCACTAAACACAGATTCAGGATGCGCTTTTCGCTCTCCTACTGTTCTATTCTGTCAAGTTTACCCACATAAAAATCACTCTCTAAATGAATTTCTTCTAATGACTGATAACAATGCTTTTAAGAGCCAAGAAGAAGATAATTTTATATGAATTTCATTGTATCAGTATTTCCAGCAATATGAAATGACTATGTGCCCATTTTCTCTGAATGATAATCAAAGTAATGACTCAGCTAATAAATCTAACATATTTCAACAAGAAGAGTCAACCAGTGTCCAGGTATTTAAGCACTAGAATACTCAGTTAAACAAGACATAAACATGTCAGCTAGGGATTACTTTGACAAAATGAAAAACACTGAAATAAAACAAGATTGTGAAAGGCTCAGGAATAAGAAAACTTATATAAATTCAAAGAAATTTGTGTTAATGAGACAATTCACAAATAACTATGAAAGCAAGGGTTACAGATAGAAACTGGAGAGGTGAAATCTTTGTTATTATAGATGATTCAGTTTAGGTTTTTATTTTTCCTGAGAAAGCAAACTATTGAAACATTCTGCTATGCACAACTGTTGATAGGAATTTTTATACCTTTAAACAGTTTATATTCTCTACATACATTTGATCCTGAATTGGAAACACAACTATTTTGGCTTTCCATTGGCACTCTAAGATAAACCATGCAAATTTTAATTGCCTTCATATGCTCCTCATTCTTTTTCAGCTTTTTTTCATTTTGAACAAAACTCAGTGAACTTTTTTCCCTAATCAATTTTTGTTTTCCCTCCAGGAATTTCTAGGAGATATGTTTCTTCATGCTAGCTGTTTGTCATTGTCCACTGTCTAGTTTTGATTAATGCCAGGTAACTCATTCCTTGGTGTAATTTTAAAGAAAGCTTTGGAAAATCACACAGGCTGGAAAGGTCTTAACGATCTATAGACAGACATAGTCAAACTTAACAAATGTGTGATCTCACTGTGGGATTCGGTAGATTCAATAAAGAAGGCATGTTTTCCATCTCTCTATACCTGCTAAATCCAGGTCACTATCTAAATGCTGGCCACATATTAAACTTCTTTAAAATAATGATCAAAGCCTGCTTTCTGTTTCTTACCTCAGAGAACAATATGTTGACAGGAATACTTTGTCCTTTGATACTTTAATACTCAAAATCAGTGGTTCTCATCTAGCAAAACTCTTGTTGTCCAGGAAACATTTGGCAATATCTGGAAATGTTTTTTTGGTTATCATAGCCAAGGGTGGAGAATGCTACTTACTGCTATCAAGTGAGTAGAATACAGAATATCCTACAATGTGAAGGACAGCCCCCCAATAACAAAGAAGTAACCCCCCCAAAAAATGTCCACCGCATCATGGATGAGAATTCATAATCTTAATACATAAAGAAGAAATTGGTTTGGAGGTCAAATTTTAAAAGATAAAGTGCTCACCTGTGGAGGAGCATTTCTTTAATTCTGAAATGTATGTTGCCTTAGAATATTTCCTCAGTGACGGCACTGAGGCGACATGCCCTCTAGCAATGCTTAACAGAGCTTGGGCTGGCCTATGGCCCCACTCCTGTGCTGTGGGCTTATCCCTACGATGACATTAGAGACAGTGGAGAGGCCCAAGCAGCAGCAAGGTCAAAGGACTGAGCTTCCATATCCCCCCAGGCTCCTGCTGTGACGGATGATGTTGATGAGTAGAGCAGGTAAGAGAAAGCTGTGGACCAAGTCCACTGTTTACCTTGGTGATTTGATCAAAGCCAGTAGGAGAAAATACATGTCAGTAGCAGCAGCCAGAAGTTCTCATGAACCCATGATGGAAAGTGCCCTTTCACGCCTGATATCAGCTGTGCCTCTCACTCACGTTCCTCATCAGAACATGGAGAACAGTACAACACTCAGTAGTTCTCTCCTCCTGGCTTTGTCTGGTCCTCAGTAAGCTCTCGTTGATCCAGAGCTTTATGTTCCCTGGCTTTATTCTATTTCTATTACGAAGGCAGCCCCTCACCCCCAAAACAAATCTATCCTCCTAATATTCCTATTCATCCATAGTACTATTTCTAAGCCAAATCTTTTTTGCTTTGAGATATCATTGTTTCACAGCACTGTGTATGATTCTGAGGTGCAGGACCCCACCTTCAGGTACATGTTGCCCCCACACCCACCACCAAGGTACCTGCAGCCCCACCTTAGCCCACTGGGCCCTTCTCCACTCTGCTGTCCTCATCTCCCTCCCTCTCTGATAACCTCAATTCTACAGTCAGATTTCTAGGGTTCATTAGTAGGTTGGTTTTATCTGGCTCGTTGCTATCTCTCCGTATTCCACACGTAAGTGACACTATCCCGTGCCTGTCTTCTCCTTCTGACTTATTTCACTTAGCATCATTCCCCTCCAGCTCATCCATGTTGTCACCGGTGACAAGAGTTCGTCTTTTTTCATAACTTAGTATTTCTCTTCATCTCACCCCTTTCTCAGTCTTCTACCCCCTCTGTCTCCTGGGGACAAGCAGGCACCATGCACTCACTGCAAACTTGCAAATAGCTGAGTGTTAAAACACAGGAAATATAAAAAGTAGCTCCCTGCTGTACACAGGTGTGCAGTCACGCGCTCACCTCCCAACGATGTCATCTTCTCTACACCCTTGAATCCATTCCTGCTTCTGCTTCATGAAAAGGCTGGGTGAATAGGGACAAAATCCTGGGTGAATAAAGGCACCCATTCACTTTCAGCTCACCCCAGCGGAGTTGAAGAGCAGGAACCGTGCCCTCCACACCCGAAGCTCTGGTGTAAAAGGGCTTTCTGTTTCCCTGTCAGCGGCTGGCATTCAAAGTTAGTGAAGTAGAAGTGAAAAACAGTTAATCTCATAATCATCTTTGGCTCTAGAGAGGCTTTTGAATTTGCGTTTTGAAGTATAGCCTTTTATGTTCTTTTAAAGGGAAGAGTAAAACCCATCACTGCGTTTAGGTTAATGCCCTCACTAGACAGATGCTAACAAATCATTTGCTGATCTGAAGTGAACTTATAAAGTTAGACAGCAGAGGGTCAAACTAAGGAAAAGGATGACAGCTTCAGGCTTTACGAGAAGGTACCAGGGTGTATGTCAGTGTTTTTTGTTTGTTTGTTTCTTTGTTTCTTTGTTTATGTGTTTGTTTTTTCCAGTGGTTGACATATTTTTTGAATTGCTTTTTATGAAAACATATTTAACTCCAAAGACTCACACCCCACGTGAACACACAATTGAAGCTTGATAAAATAACTGACTTATGCTAATCTCCTTAAAAATGAACATTTTTTTTAAGTTGGGTCTGAACAAAAACAAATCAAGAACCCTTTGGCTGAAACTCTAAGGTTATAATGAAAAGTCAACAGTTACTTTACAATTTCAAATAGAAATTGTTCCTTTTACAGATGAATGGAGCTCTGTCTCCTTCCTCTGCCTTCCCCTCCTCCACCATGGAGCCCCAAAATTCATTCTCAGTTATGCGAAGAGCTTCTTATTTGAAGATAATTAATACAAGTTTTTCATCTTCCATTCACATAAGAACCACCATACAGAAACAGCAACCCAAGATGAACTCTGGCCTTGCCACAGCATGCTACACTTCAGTGGGTAGATCTTGGCACAGATTCTAAGCCCATTCTTTCTCTGTCATTTTACGAGAAACCAGTCTCAATCAGAAACTGCAGATTTACAATACCATTAGTGAAGGTTATTTGTGAACATTTGCCCCAAACTTCCCAATTCTAACGCCCCGGTTAGACATCGTGGTACAGGCTTCAGGGATTTCCAGCAGAAATCTCGACATCCAGGACACAGGTAGTTCCACTGTGTGAGGAAAAGCCAGCATCGTACAGCGCAGCACCCAGGATGGGTCACTATCCCTCAGCCTGTATATTCCTCAAGTTACTCAAAGTCCTGGAGTGAAAGGAGCTAATGTCACTGCAGAGCAGGGAGAATTGCACTGCTATTGGACAGATTTACTTTTTGCACAGACAATGAGATTAACTGTTCTCTTAGAAAATGCAAAGTATGAAATACTGAAACAAGACCAAATTAAAGCAGCCTTCCCAAGTGGGACTAGGTGAGTTCATTGATCGGCGCAGATATCGACATGGAAGACAAAAAGCCAGCAAGGCAGGGGCTGGCTGCTAGATGCCTGTTTTTATGGTGTTTTAGAAAACTCCTTCTATTGAAGGCATAAGCCTCCTAATTCATTGCAATTAATATTTTGAAATCATTGTACAAATGACAGTGATAGTGTTTAAGTTTAAGTTTAAGGCCTCTTTATTCTGCATACTGTTTCAATGAGTGGGTTTATTAATATTGGTATTCATTTCTTCAGCTCAGCAAACTACTATGGTTTTAAGAGAGTATAAATTCAAAAGTTAATTATACTGCTGAAATAGTAATTAAAATGTATTGGCATGGCATTATCAATTAAAGCCATATTCCTAAGTTTCCCGGGAGCCATGGAGAAGGTGCACTATTGTAGGATCAACTATGAGGCTGTTATCCCTGACTCCCTAACACTTGCTGAGGAGACACTGTAGACTTTTCCAGAAGGTGTTCTGGGGTTTAGAGTATGGTTTTGCATTAAGAGGTGCTGCCTGCCCACTGCTTGCCACACGATTCATAGTGTGCTCTGCTTTTTGCTATTGATAATGCATTCACTTTAATCCCTTTGCTCCCCAAAATGTCAGCAACCTGCTATTGTTTACTGCTGAAGCCTCCTGGTTAGAGAGCACTCCGTATGTTCTTGCTGACTTTATGGTGTTGTAACATTACTCTGACACTCCTGCTTGCTCTACAAGGACTCAGTGGCAAATGGCAAAGCTTTCAGTGCTAAGTACGACTGCATTTTCAATCATTTCCAAATTACTTCACACAGCATCTGCTAATATCTCTTTGGAAAAATAAGTGCCCTTGGCAAGAGGGCCCTAAATACTAACCACAAGGCAGGGACTGCTTCTGGGCTATTAAAAAGGTCACAGATGTTTAAAAAAAAATAGAAAATGGCAAAATCTATTCAGTTCTCCCAGATTTCTATTTTGAAAGACCCCAGAGAGATCTGGGCTCCCCTCTCCTTTACAAATAAGGGTCTGCATCCAGGGAGATTAAGCAAACTGCTCAAATTTCACATCTTAAACAACTAGGGTTCAAGTGACTTCAGTCCACATATCTGAAAACAACTGAATTAAAGATAAGTCAAGTGAGAATTTCAAGCCTGACACACTTCAGCAAGACAAACATGGGGTTCACCCTAAGGCTCACCTTTTCCCAGGTCAGGACGCTTCTCAGTTGTGTCTTCCTCTAAGGGCTGTGATTTTGTGCCCATGTCCACCCTAAAGTATCTCATCACTCCAAATCTTGACTATTTTCTTCACAAATATGTTCACCTTGCCGCTCCTCTGATGCATTATGAAATCACGAGCCACTTAGAGTCCTTTCAAGATCTGCCCATCGCCAGCCCCTAAAGACAAGTCACCCCTTTCCTTTGTGTCTCTCACAGCACTGAGTGGCACAGCATCTTGACACTGTAGTTGCTGTGTGACACACGAGTGCTGTTTTCATGGCCACTGGTGGGATAAATACTCAGGATGAGTGAACCTCTCTTTACAGTCCATCTCATTCAGCAACATGGCAATGAATGAAACCTCAGAAGAATTCAGTAGGCCTAGATCCAAGGAGCACAGCTCCAGCCAGCCATGGTCTTGGTCTAGAAAGAAGAAATCTGGTAAAAAATAATGTCTCAAGGCTCTCTGGCACGGGTTTCACCAAAGCCATAAGATTATGACTGTGACCTGGAAAATGGTTGTGGTTTGATGCTTTTGTCACGGATGGTTGGGTGCTCAGCCTTGTTCAGCAGGGGGTGTTGGTGCTGTGGGGGGGTTATCCGATGTTTACAGACTGTTTCTGTTAATTGCCACAGGTTTACACCCTACGAGTGGTATAACCCTCACCCATGCAACCCTGACTCAGATGTGGTGGAAAACAATTTTACTTTACTCAATAGTTTCTGGTTTGGAGTTGGAGCTCTCATGCAGCAAGGTACACCGGTCACCCTTCGTTGTCACACGCATCCCACAGCCTGCTGACAGGCTTCGGTGCTGGTAAACTCCGCCACAACACAGTAGGGCAGGCTGCAACCCAGGTCAGGGATGAAACCAGTAGAACTTGACCTCTATCCCCGCCCCCAAGTCTTAACAATAGCAAAGACAAAAATGTGGTGGCAATGGACTTCTTGGCTCTTTATCGAAAATCGGACTCTGTCAAGTCATAAACACCAATTTTCTTAGAGGAAAGTAAAGGATAAAGTACTTACACATTGTTGACACTCTTTTCCTTTTCAGTCGTCACTCCACAAGTCAGAGGTTTGAAAACAGTGGAATTGAGTCCGCCGAAGATTAAGTTGACTCACAATCTACCAGGCTCAGACAGTACCTAGAACTGCCATCTAATTACCACTCTGACAAACCCCACTGGGATTCAGCTTAGCTTCCCATTAACTTTTTACAATCTCCCTCAATTGGTAACCATAGCAACAGTAAACCACAGGGGTTGGAGAAATAAAATTCAAGCCACAGAAATGTAATATATGTTAGACTTTTTCTATGATTGGGGGACTGGCTTTTTGTTGGGGAGGGAGGAAAGAGTGAGTTGTTTTACACTTTGGAAGAAATACATCTCTTGTGGGTTTTCTTTGCCTTGATTCCAGGAATTTGGTTTAAAAAATACTTCCCAAGAGTAAATGGATTAATTTAAGGAAATCAAAAGTGAGAGACACTGTGGCATTTGGAATATCTGTTCCTTTAATAATAAGCTAAAAAATAAGTTGCTAAAGGGAAATTCAATAGGGATCTATTTTAAACATTTGTTACTTGGGGGTGAACCCAAAGCTTCTGGTAAGGGAGTTGCCATACCACTTGAAATATTTATGTTCTATATCAACAAATTAGAGAAAGTCATAGCAAGAGTCTCCAGTGTGGAAATACCAAGTCATCAAGGAAAGTGGGCAAATCCCAATTAAGCAGAGTGATGTGGGCGCTGCTAAAGGATGTAGAGATGTAGAGATGTAGCTCGTTCACTACAAAGCACTTGCATGATTTTAGAGCATAACACAGCATCACAGATTTTCTTCAGGCCAACCCATTAGCACCATATATGCATATATGCTTTCTCAGTGCATTGAAATAATAGAGCATTTAGCAATTAGCAACTAATTTTTGTTTGTTTAAAACAATTTCCAACTTGGCTTGAGATGCAGTTTTTTTAAAGATTTATTTATTTATGTTTACAGAACTGGGATACAGGCCAGAGGTGCAGGGGCAGTGAGAGGATTCACCAGAGACAGAGTGGGGAGCAGAACAGGCAGACTGATAAAGTACACTGCAGAGGGGAGCAGCGGGAGGGTCGGCAGAGGTCTGCTGCGCCATGTGGGTCAGCTTCCTGGCCAGGAATTGAACTGGTGCTGCAGTGGCTTCGGAGAGCTTCATAATGCAGCGCTTTAACCCATTGTGCCACTGGGGGAGCCCTGAGCAATTATTTTTAAAGAGTAAAAGAGACCCCTCTCCTTCCCTGTAACAGAGAAGTACAGACTGGGTTTCACAGTACAGACAGCCATCATGCCTGTATGTGGCCGTAGCTGCCTTCCTTCATGAGAGTGCACCCACTCAGTAACTTCTCGTTCACATTCTCCCTCTTTGGAGTTTACCATCATGCACAGCAAACCGTGGGATGCAGTGTCTGCTCGTTACCACTACCTTGGGTACATGACAGTCAGCCCCAACCAGACTCTGCTTATTTTTTCTAATAATTTTAAAGACATTTGTGAGGTAAACAAATATCTGCATGTATAAAATGGGATCCTGGTGACCGTTATGCATCTGTCCCTAGCATGTGACGCTGGACCGAGTAGCTGACTTCTGAATTAGCTGTTGCTCTCTCTCCTATAGCAGAAGCTTGTCAGTCTTCTCAATTGGAAACCACAGGATCGAATTTCTTTTTTAATGTGATGATCAGACTTTCTCTTTTCTACAGAGCGTGAGCAAAGTCTGGATCAGGATTGGCTGTCATGTCTGCCGTAAAAGGCACAAAAGAGACTTCAGCAAGTATTGTCTCTCATCACCAGTATTCTAGTGATATTTTACTCTACATTGACTGTTCTCATAACTCATCTTCTAGAGTTTGGAAGTTAGCAATCCATCTCTAGTTGAGGGAAGCTTTTCTAAGCAGATCCGTTGACACTGAGAGTCATGAAATCCATGACATTGAATCAAAACAACATGCTGATATGGTGAGAACTAATTGCTGTCACCTACCAAGGATTTAAAATATAATCTCAGTAGGTTTCTATTTTTTTAATTCCCAAGATAAGATTATCCAAAAGTATAAATATGTATTTTAAAGGGTGATTTTTATATTATTTAATGTTACGATCAACAATCAGTTATCTGTCTATCCAGTTTTACTGTCATATAACATATATAACAGGCAAATAATAAATTAAAACCTTATCTTTTTATAACTACAGCCAAATATGCAAGGATAAATAACAATGTAAAGTGGATACTATATCTGTAAGCAGAGAAAATATATCTATTAAATGTAGTATTTAGTTCCCATGACTATTTATAAAGTAAATGGTATTTTAAGAATAGCCAGCTAAAGATCTAAAGTAATATTATATTGCCACAAGGCTGCTAGATCAATTAAGCATAAAGATATGAAACAACCTTGGGCATGAGATACACACACACACATTCACTGGCATATAAACCCCATTAAACTACAAGATTAAAATAACAGCAATAAGCTATTCCACTAAATCCTTGGAGGCAATTTAATGGAAACTATTATAATTCTGTCTAATATTACACATCCAAACTCAAACAAACAAAAGGAGGAAATAAGGACCATGTTGAAATCATTTATCTCATTAAAAGAAAAAAAGCACAGACATACCTAACAGCATTAGAAAAATATATCTGTTAATTCAAAGCCCAGAAACTCTGCCAACCTCGATCTTCTTATCATGAGCCACAAGCTGGCTTTGATTTCAAGAGCAGTATGTGTGTCTGTTAATAGATTAAGCTTGAGCCTAAGCTCCTTTATTTGTAGATTGATAAACTCCAATTTCCCTTTCAATCTTAAGTCATTAACCACCAAACTTCAGCACACCCAATCAGAATAGTAAAAGAATTCCTGAAACCAGATATTGCATTGCTGTATTTCACCTTTTGGATTTTCAAATGCGGGGTGTTTTTCATCTACTTTTTAATATTCATCTAAAGCCATCATGTCTCCAATGCTAAATTCAAGGAGTAAATGCTAAGTATATAACCTGTGGTGAATTTCAGGCACACAGAGTAGCCAACCCATCCATGAGTCAGTACAGTTGGAATAACCTCTGCATATGTAAGCTTCTGCCTCCTTTCATATTTTTTAATATTTTATTTATTTATTTCACAATATAGTTTTTAAGTTGTACTGCTGGATTATAAATTTCTACAGTTCAGTTTGACCAAAAGATTTGAGCCAGACAATTTTTAGATATATCTATCCATTGTGTAAACTATTCTCTTTCTTTCAGAGAAGAAAAATTTCCTGGTAAACAAATATTAAGTGCCTCTATGTTCTCTTTTACAAAAAATCATGAATCATCTATTGATGGCTAACATCTGTTTTTACCAGGAATGACCCCTTTTCACCTAAGAAACAGCCAGTCCTTGAAATATAATTAAAAGATAGCACATTTCTAGCAACAAAATTATTATTTTAATGACTATCCTTTTAGGCAAATGAGAAGCTACACTAGAAAAAATCATTACTTCAAAAGTAATACAAAACATTTCAGCTATTTTCATGACTGGATCATATTCATTTGATTTATGAAATCCCAACTTTTTATTAAAATGTATGTGACCAATGCATGACATTTTAGTCTTTTAAAATTTTCTCACATTCTTTTAATTTAAAAATTAAAATAATTAGCATTTCAAAGCTTTTTCGTAGCTCTGTTTCATAGAACATTCCACACAATAAGATGCATTTTAGACAGTAATGAAAGACCAGAAGACTCATGATTAACTTTTCAACTAAAGCAAACAAACTCTAACCAGAGCTAATAAACTCCATATATTTGACGCATAAACTACCCCAGGGTTAAAATCATTGACTACCATCAAATGTTCATAAATTACATTTCAGACACCATAGAATTTAATAAAAGATCATTTAGTTTGGCTACATTTCCTAGAAAATGCATCTATTTCACCTACACTCCAGAGAGTAAATCCTTGATGGATTTACAATTTTTTATGTCACACTATTATGCATTTATCTACTCAGATTAGTGTCAAATCACAAGTCTTGTCTTTTCTCCTAACTCTGCTTAACACTCTTACTCTGATGATACCATCATAGGTTCAGAGCTGATGCCAAAAGCTCTATCAACCAGAATAGTTGGAGGGATATGGTGGTTTTTCACCCTAATCATCATTTCATCCTACACGGCCAACCTGGCTGCCTTCCTGACGGTAGAGAGAATGGAGTCCCCCATAGACTCAGCGGATGACCTGGCCAAGCAAACCAAGATAGAATACGGGGCAGTCAGAGATGGATCAACCATGACCTTCTTCAAGGTAAGGAACTAACAAAGTATTCTAAATGCTTACTCCTGCTGAGGACAGGAGAAGTTGAACAAGAAGCTCTTCAAAAATTAAATTTTGGGCAACAGAGTTTTTAGTCAAGTAAAATCGACAATGACATAATCGCATTACAAGGAAGTCACATGCCTTCAGCAGTCAGGATAAAACCGTGTCTCTAATCCCCAACTAAGTATCGTTCCCAATTTAGCATTCTAAGAATCACTCTCTACTTCATCCATCTCTTGCCTTTATACCAGAAAAAAAATTGCTATTTTCTGAATATGGCATCACAACCTATTCATGGACCACTCATGTATAGAACCCACAAAAGAAAGATGTCTTACTCTGAAATTCACACATCCATAATATTCCAGTAGCATAGCTTTGTTCTTGCAGTTTGTACTCGATGCAATAGAAAGAGATAACAAGTAAATTGGCTGATAATTGTATTTATTTAGAGACTTAAAACCAAAATGGAGTTGAGGGGAGTCTTGTCTAATATGGCATTTCCACCAATGAGGACAATGCTCCCAGTGTGACGGCAGCTTTCTGCTAAGTTGGAGAGCTTTGCAAGCCAGTCCTTGAAATATAATTAAAAGATAGCACAGGAAAGTCTAGCTAGAGTTGATGTTGTTTTAATGCCAGTGCATTTCATTACTCAAACCTTTTTAATCACTTACCCAGAGAATGAAACTGACTTTTGCCGACTTTATGGAATACAAACTAATACTTTTATCATCAAATCTCAAATGCTATAGTTCCCAAGGGGACTTGGTGTGTGGATATTATTATATGGGGAGAGTTTAAGGATGGCAAAAATACCTTAAGATCATGTAGTTCTTACAAAGAATTTGTGATTTATAAAGAAAACAAAACTTCCTACAGCTAAATTATCCATTCAATGTTTGGTCCATGACAGGAATGGATGAGAACATTCTTTTAGGTGGTAACTGTGCATGTGTAAGAAGAGAAAATAACAGGTGCGATCAAAATAAACTCTGAAAGAGATGACCTTGGTCAGGGTTTTACATGCAGATAACCAAAAATGGATCTGTCATCCCGAGACTGAGTGCACTATTTGATTGTTGAAGATTATTACTTTAGAAACAAAACCCTAGGGCTAAAGAACATTTTGTAGAACAAGAATGGTTTACTGACATAGATATTACTGATGCAGTACATTTGCTTTAACAATGAACAATTGTTTACTGTTAGAGAATAGCAGTAAATAAATGATAACAAACTTTGTCTTAAGAATAAAGCATGCAGAGGTTTGTCAAAAAAAAACCTAGTCATATAGAAAGCGCAGGCTTGTTTTTCTTCTATATTAAAGAGGATGACTTTTACACATTCATTGCATTTGCCGAAACGTATCATTGATGTAATGAATGTGTAAACGTGGTAATTTTTTCTTCTCTGGACATGTGTTGTTTTAAGAAAAAGTGACATCAAATAAATGGCTTTTGCAGGTTTCTAGACACTGAGATTTTTCTAAAATCAACAGTGTGAAGAGATAGAACTAAGTCCAAGCAAGTGATTCAACATTTGTCAGAAACAGGAAAGTCACCCATAAGACAAGACAGAGGGACAGAGTAGCATCATGTATGTCTGAAAAAAGTCTGAAATGATTAACTTTATTCACTAATATCACAAGTTTCAAAGTATCAGGAGATAGATGAATAGAGGCAGAGAAAATTCTACATGCTTTCTAGGTGCACGTGGATTGAGGGAGCTATTGCCCTTTAAAGACACAACAGAGCTGACTTTGCCACTGGGCAGGAGATCATTGGTTTACAGGCTGTTGTGTTTGTTTGCTCACAAGACTCTTTGGATGTAGAGACTGTTGCTTCCCATTTTTTCTGGAGGAACCCCGGGTGACCATATAAGATCTGGGTACCCGCCAGTCAGTGAGGGCCTTCTGCTGGTCTCAGGCATCTTCTCATGGTAGAAGGGACCATCCTTGCTGCAGCCTCTGTTTGAAGGTACAAATCCCATTCATAAGGGCTCCATTCTAATGCCTTAAGCACCTCCCAAATACCTAATATCCTAGAGCCCTTGGGGCTTACAATTTCAACATAGGACTTTTGGGGGACACATTCATTCCATAGCAGAAGGGATACTTAGTGGCCCACATTGGAAGAGATACCAGTTGCTTGATTTGAAAATTAGCTTATAACCCAGCAACTCTATTTATCAAGAAGGAATTTATTTGCAAAGAGAGAGCAAGGACTAAATCTGATTTAGTATTCCCCTTGAGGGAGGCAAGCAGTCAGAACGCTGCAGAGATACACACTCAGGGTTCTTAAACTGGATTATTCGATATAGGAAAGAAGTGCCCCAGCTTTTTAGCAGTCAGGCAATTTCCATCTACATCACTGAGTGGCAATAATGGTCACAGAGATTCCGGCCTGACCTGGCTCTACCTAATGCTGTTGGTCTGTTGACTGAATGAGGAAAAACTAGATGAGCCTAGAACCTTCTGATCTATTTTGAGGGCAGTCGCTATGGCCCAGATCCGTCCCTCTCCACCCAATCACATGGAAGCTTCTAAGAAACATTTTCTCATCACTTACAGTGCAACTCAGGAGCTAAAATGACTTTGTCTCTGTATATACATATATGTATATTCCAGCCCTTTAGCAATGCCCAAATGGTAGAAACCTGTCTCTTTCATTTCATGTTGATTCTAACTTGTATTACAGCTAAAGAACAGGCAGTTCTTTCTAAAGGAGGAAAGGACCACAGAAATTGCCAGAATCCACAAACAAAATGCAGTAATCCCTCACATTTGGTTTCTGAACTACAAATAAGAGGTGTTTTTAGAGAAGTCCCTCCTTGGAAAGGAACTCAGAAGTGGCTTACTAAATGTGCAATCAAAATCCACTGGGTTTTTCTTCTCCCTAGCTTGTCTATTCTTGCAGATAGCATGAGCTTAGATCTCAGATTTGTGATATTTGGTTTTTTGCTTGTTTGGTTGGTGGGTTTTTTGTTTGTTTTAAGTAGCTCAGCTCATGTTCCACTTATCCATCTTCTGAATTCAATTAAGACTGAGGACATTAAATTATATTCATTGCACGTGATCTGGGTCAAAGTTACCATGTGTCTGAGGCAGAGCAGGTGAGATCACTTTCCTTCATTGAGCAGCTATATGTGAAGCAACCACTGGATCATCAGGGACTGTGTTTATGCAGGAGAACCAGGATTAAATCAGAAATTCAAGATCACATACATTCACTAAACTTTCAGTGGACCCTTGAGATGTAGCTGATGCTATCCATAAAGAAAAGAACAGCTTTAAGGTCAGTGGCCAAGGTCATCACTCATGGTGATGCTTATTAAACATTGCATTTTCTCAAGGTCATCAGCATTCTGGATCTTAACCACAGCATGATATCTACTTAGTCAAACCCTGTCAGTCACCCCTTGGGCCAACTGGGCAGGACAAAGTCAAAGAGAAACAGAGTCTTTCATCAACTGTCCAGGAACCATTGGGGAAGATGTTTTAGGAAGTTTTCCAAATATCAGGAGATTATTTCTTTTTCCTTGTCAGACCATCAATCAATTAATTAACTCTTTTACATAAGACATTGTTTTAACAATTCAGACTTTCAAGAAACTTCATGTCAGATTTTTTTTTCTGAAAACTCCTTTTTTATGTTCTACTTTGGATAATATTAATGATTAATATAATACCTACTGTATTGTTTTCTCTGCTTTCTGCTGGGAAAAGGCTTTCCCATGACTCCTAATTCTTTGAGGTCACCGCCAGCATCTTAGTGCTTACAAGAGTTCATTGCCAAGCTCTGTGGGACACAACGTCTTTTAAGTCATGGACATTCCTTCCTTCATACTCAAAACACTTAGCATCAGTGGTGTTCAAATACAGCTTTTCATTTTATAATGGACCACTGCAATACCAAATGTTTTCTCCCTAATAGAAAGTAGGGAATATATAAAAATTCTGTTATTTCTCTTTGTTGTAATTAATTACCTTTAGGAGAGATGGAATTATCCAAATTTAGTTCCCACAGTAACAGTTTAGCAAGTCATCTTTTTTTTTCCAGATGAAGAAAGTACTAGCATTAAAAAAAAAAAAAGTCTAAGAAATATTTGAGACCTTAAAAAAGGATTCTCAATGTCCTTTGCAAACCATCACTCAAATGGAACAATTGTTTTAGTATATAATTCAGAGATTGGGGGTACAGATTTCTCTGGAAATTTAACTAGCATCAAATGTGGGAATATAAATTAAAATTTAGAGTGAAGTGCTTCAGACTAGGATGTGGAGCCAGTTAGCTGGTCCAAATACTGACTTACTGTTTAATTGCTCAGTAGACCAAAACAATGTCATTATTTAAACTCTATATGTTTTAAATTCCTTGTTTATAACTTGAAGCTAATAAATAATTCATACGATTATCTTAAGGATTAAGTAAATTAATGTGTTTACAGCATTACTTGGCAAATAGTACATAATAAAAAAAGTTAGATATTGCTTTCATTATCACAAATGTCATTCCCACTAGCATTCAACACTTACGCCAAGGTATTAGTCCTTTTGTTTGTTTGTTTTCAATCCTTCTGGATTTAAAAAAGTCCTGGTTGGGCTTTGGTCAGCTTCCTCACCATCAGTGGCCTCCAGATGGCATGCCTTCTACTAATAGAGCAATTGAGAGGGAGAGCCAGTGCCCAAGTTCTCAAAGACTTTCAGGGCCCACTCTTTCACACCCTCTGTTCAGAAGCCCATTCTGAGCACATACATCACATTTGAATAACTATTTTCAGAGAGTAAGACTATGCTGGGAATTCAGCAGAGAAGCAGAGTGAGCAACCTAACTCAATTTAATTTCTATGTCATGCAAAACTTCCACAACAAGTTCCTGAGGTTGACTATAAGAGATAGGAGGATAAAAGGTATACAAATTTGGGCAGTAGACAAACAGGATGCATTTAACAAAGACCTGTTAAATACAACACCACATGTGTGTGCCCAA